GCGCGGCATCTTCCTGCTCCTCGCACTCTATTTTAAACTAAAGCAAGTCCGCCGCGAGGTTAATTCTAAAACTATTGTTAAAATAAAAGAGCCACACTTTGCTATACTCGTTTTATTCCAATTTAACAACTTGTTCAATATTTAATATACAAACATTTTTTTTGATATATCTAACTAGACACACGTCTTCTAGAATAACAACAATAATAAAATCTGTGTATCTAAGATACAATGCCGACGGAGCATATGAAAGAACTACAGATATTTAACAACTATACCGTGAAAGTCGGGGTCGAAACGCTTGTAAGGACTTGTTTTACAATCAATGATTCACGTATTTTTTGAATGTTTTTTTTTTTCATATATTTTGACGTTGTAGTACCATCCATTGAGTTTATTAGCTGGTTCTTTATATCTGGTACTACCGCCATGTTTTCAGTGCTTCAAAGTGAGATTTGTTATTACTGTCACGTTGACGTTAATTATTTAGTTGACGTAAACTTTTTTAAAGAAATTGTGAAGAAAATTACTCGTTTCGGTACTGAAGATACTGACAAAAAAAATACCAAGTACCAAGTATAAAACAAACAGTTCATCAAGTTCCGCAGTGAAAAAACATGTAGAATAGACAAGTCTCCAACTGCCGAATGTTCTGGAAGATTATGCTTTCAAAATATGAAGAGAAGAAAGTGTAAAAATTATAAAGAAAATGTAACTAAAACAATGTGCATCTTCACAGCAAACCAGTTACAAGAAATGTTTTATGAAAAACATAAAATTAAGTTGAATTTTCTGATGTAGAATTTGTAGCCTCCAGAGCTGATCGAGATATTATGCGAAGAAATTACAGTGCGATTCTTTAAAAAGAATTTATATTTTCTATAAGAACTTTTTTTAGGATTACATACATAGATATAAAATATGATAGGTTTATCTCCAGTATTATAAGATATACAAGACCGTGCATAAGTGTAAAGTATAGTTCTATCCGATCTCAATTGAAAACAAAGAGCTAGGCAGTATGTACCAGGTTCGATCGCTACATGACAACTCGGCATTGAAATATTTCAAAAACTTGTTCCCACATTTATTGAACAACATAAATTCAGTTGTCAACAAATGGCCTAGCAGTGCAGTGCAGCAATGCGAAATTTGGTGTGATTCAGGTAATTTTACTTCATTATATAGGCACCTTCTATGACTGATTCATATTACAATTGCAAAAGGGAAAAATAATAGGGATATTTTGTTTACTAATATTATTACAACAAGGCATTTTGGAGACCTTTTGAAACGGAACAAAACGAAATTTACCATCAATATAATAAAATTGTTTGAGGACATAAATAATTAAAATATGTTGTTGGCCAAATGAACATATAATAGAAATTTTCTACACATTATATACAAATTATTATAATTTTTTACCTTTAGCAGAAAACTTTCTTAGGGACGCCTATGAAACTCATTAAATTTTATTGCTAGGCGTTTTTATACATATTTATCTGACTTCGGAGAGATTATACTACACATTTTTGCCTATACGTAGGTACTAATAGAATATGTAAAAATAAACAGAATATTTTATTTAAAAAAAAAACGAATACCACCTCGTTTTTTTCTTTTTTTTTTTTGATAAAATAAGTGAAAAACCATAATTCACTGTTCCGATATCATCAAAGGCATCGAAATTACAATCCAATATACCTAAGTGTAATCAAGAGATATTTGTTGAGGTTCTTATGTAAGGCTGAAGCATTTCGAAGTAATCGTAACATAAGGAAATATTTTAATTGAAATACAAAAAAAAATAGACATATTGAAATAAAATTCAATTGTATCGTACTATGTATAGTGTTTCTAGTCAGGTCACTTTAGATTAGAACCATCATAGAAGCGTTTATATTACATTTATTTACAACGTGAGGCGCCCTCTAGTATCAAGATTTACAACTATTTAAAGGAAGGGTAGAAAACCACAAATACATTGTGGTGCATTTCTGTGATAAAGAGCATACTATAACAATCCAATTTTTTTCTCTAAAGACGGCATTTACAAGTGGTGGCAAACAAAGCTATATGTTTTATTGAATTTAAGCTAGGCAAATTGCATGAATGTGAAAAAATATTAAGTAGGTACCAAACAGGGTAGTTTCCGAAAGTCCCATTTACATTAGCGAAAATATACATCACGCGTTAATTTTTGATATACAGGTTGACGGCATGCGCAATGCGCTCCGACAAACACGTGGTTCAATCATGTTTATAAAATCTTCAAAATTTTTCGCAGACATGTAAAAAAAAGTTAACTGGATTCCTATTTTGATGGAAATATTTTATTCAGTAAGATATTTTCCTTTTTCTCATTTATCTGAATAGGATGGTTCCTAATCAGCACATTTTTTTTTTTCATTATTAGTTATCAGACGTCGCTTGGATTTGTTTAAATGAAAAACTAATTATTGGATAGAAACATAATACAGGGTGATTCAGAACTTACCCTTACAGACCCTTACAAATACAATTTTGTAAAGAAAAAATCAAAAAGGGCAGTTCGGAAATGATTTAAAAATACACTTCTGCACGGCACTGGAAACATGGTCACTGTAAAACCTGACCTAGCACAATGCGACCGGCATGGCGGTGTGATAAAAACGGACAAAAACTTTCGTAAGGAAAGAAATATGTAAATAGAATTTTATCGCACCTATTTTATATCGGCAAATTCAACTGCTTTTGCCTTTATTAATTAATAAAATTAATTTGTGTTTTTAAATAATAAAATCATTTGACATACCTGATATTCAATATTTTATCCACCAATGTGTAAACACATTTGGATCCGTTGGACACAGTTTCTACGAACTAACGCAAATGTTGTCTTGTTTCACCATAACACAAATGCTTTACCATAAATTATCCATCAACTCCGAGTACACGCAAACCATTTTTGACACTAACTACCCATTTTTGACACTAACTATAACTAAAACACCACAGATAACAGATAAATATCGCAACGACGATTGCAAAATCCGAATTCAGTATTCGGAGTCGCTGAGGCCACGGGGCGAATGACGCTAGAGACTACAGTTGTCCAGCTATGTAGTGGTTGAATGTACTATATAACTTCAATATTTTTTTCTCGGAAACTATAAGGATTTTACAAAAATTTTTTTTACAATATTGATTCCATTTCTCATGCTGAATCTATTCCCAATCTTTTTTGGATAAGTTGTGAATCACCCTGTGTATTCATTAACACAATTAAAAAATACATTCGCGCTAGATTGGCATTATTGGGTTGCAACTCTTTTTGATGTCTGAAAAATTCACAATGAACTGATTGTGTATACAGGGTAGTCACTTTTAAGGTGTAGGTACACCATTAGTGTCTCCTGAACTAGAAGATATAAGTACACGGTTGGTTAAATTTTTTACACCATTTTGTTAAAAAAAAATTTTAGACGTTCCACCGTTCCTGAAAAACCTGAAAACTTGGCTTTTTTTCTTCCATATCTATATACCATAAAAAGAAAAACAATTTTTTTTTAATTTTTGGGGGCGTAACTTTTCAGTTTTTTCAAAAAATTTTATACCAAAGACCCCTATTAATTTTTATCAGGGAACATTTTTTCGATGTTATTTAGATACACCCTGTATATTGAACGTGATCAAAAATGTTTGTGTGATTGCATATGGCGAACATGTAAACATGGAATTAAAAAAAAATCAATATTTATAAATGTGTCACATTCAATATAAGTTGGAAGTCTACTTTCTAGAATTTTTAATAAATTAACATTATTTGTTGAGGAAAAATCTGAAAAAATTCTATACTAATTCAATCCACAACCGTCCGACTTTTAAAATCCGTTTTTGGATTTTTGCCTAAGAACGATTAAAAAAAAGTTTTCTTTGGTGGATGGGAAGAGAGCATTGAAATCTATTTCACACGTGGGTTCCTAGAACTCCTATGTAGGCACTGCAGGATTGCCCTTTGGAATAATAGTGTCAATTAAAAAATATTGACTGATCTGAATCGGCATCAAAATTATGAGTCGCTAAAAATGAACACGTCCATATCGCTGCGTGTTTGAACCGCGAAACTTCATAATTAACAACACATCTAAATAGTACGGTCTATTTAATAAGAAAAGGATTAATAGAAAATAGAACACGTAAAATATATTACTTTATTAATTCTTTCCATTTTGTTTTATACTAATTTGACTTAAACTCTATACCTAGGACGACTTAAAACTACAGCAAGTCTTTTTTAAAGTTAAAATAATAAAATCGAGTAACAACTAGAAACAAATTGCTCTTATATTAAAAAAAAAAAACTACTATTCACCGTCATTTGATGACGTTTTCCAACTGAGCCTTTTAATCAGAAGGTGAATTCTTTTCAAATATCACATCATAATTCTGAATACTCAATTCACAGCTGAAAAAAAAAGGAAAAAAATACTGTCCTTTCTTCTTTTTATAGCCTCACTGGAAACTAGGAACATACATTCTACATGGAACTGATTCTCTAAACAGTTATGTTAAGCATCATCTATTATTGTTTTAAATTTGATTCGGTGTCGATAAAGAGCTACGATACTCTAACCTAGTCACTGAATATTTAAATTTCTCTCAAATCGCTAAAAAATATTGTGAATAAAATATTTACACCCTAGTTGTGTAAGCACAGCAAAAAAATTATTAAAGTACTATTGTCTCACTCCTTAAAAAAAAATGGGATTTGCAAAACATAAAATTTTTATGCATAGTTTAAAAAATACGATTGATGACTTAAACAATTTAAAAAATAATATTTAAAAGACAAAATAAAAATTTTGTTACCAAATTTACATACTACCACCCGATATCAGATAATTTAACTCATTCATTTTGAATAATCTTAATTAATCTTTTTTTATCACCCACTTAACTCGGGAGCACCGACATCATATCAGTCACGGACAGAAATGATAACTAAAAAATGTGAAATAAATTAAAGCTGTATTACTGATTGCATCAGGTACACTCTAAGTATTTTAACTGGCGTGCTCGAAATCACAAATGACGGAAAACTGGTGCGTGCCTAAGCTTTGTGCCAACCATTCATTTTTCAAAACGGCCAATTTTACGCAGTCCACCGTAAACTTGGCATATAAATTCGTATGGACGGCCCTACCCATGCCTTCCAGAACGATTAGGTCCGCCGTCTTCATCAAACTACACAGTTCTAAAATATAAATGCATAAAACATAACAAATGTCAAAAATTATCAATATATTACTATTTATTAAAAAATAAAGTGCTACGTAACCTCAACAAACTTCAATTGTTTATTCCCAAACAGTGACCTTGGAAATTACGAGGTCACCTTCTACATACACTACCTTGACCTTGCAAAGAAAATCCAATTCAATGCCAATATATATTTTCAAAATGATCACATTACCTGAAGAGAGGTTTGTGAGATCCAAACATGGGCTCTTCTGGCCATTTTCAACCGTCACCAACTGGCCGCTGGCTATGGACTCTTTTAAAACCGGGCAATGCTGAGCTGCTTTGCAACAATACAAGTTCAGTTCGTGGTATGTAACGTCATTCAAAGCCGGTGTACTGTTGGCAGTTATTACGACCTTTGTACCATGGGACAATAGTTCCCTTGCCATGGGCAGGATGCCCAGTATGAAATCGACACCCGAGTTGTCCACGAATATGACGGACGTCTTGTAAGGGTGTTTCTAGAAGTAAATCTGTTGTTAGGTTTATTTTAGAACTCAGTTTCAGGAATAGTAACTAGGCATTTTTTTTTAGAAAAAAAACTGACGTTTTCTTTCTATTTAGAACTCAGTTTCAGGAATAGTAAATAGGCATTTAAAAAAAAACTAACGTTTTCTTTGTACTTATATAAATCTAATATTTTACATTACTTATTTTATTTCCCGAAATTTAATCCGATCACTAAGTATTATTATTTCAAATACAGTTTTTCAATCAAGGTGTTCAAGTAGACATTGAATTTTTTTATCAGTTTGGAGTATAATTCCTATAAGTTTAAGGTCAATCTATCTACACGATAGAAGTCTGTTTACTTCCTGCTTAATTAGAAAACAGTGATAAGTAAAAAATTACAATATAGGGTCCAAAGTTTCAATGTGATTCCACAAATAATGAAATTTTCAAGGAAAATTAATATTTTTTATAAAGATTATCAAGACAATGAAACTATTTTTATTTATATAAATTTTATCAAATTAAATTCTATGAAATGTAAGTATTTAATCAGTTATAAATCATACATAAAATCTCAGACAATTGATAAAGAAATGTTTATTCATAATTATAAAATCAAAATTGAAAAATTGCAATTCAAAACTATAAATGTCATATACTTAGAACATGTAACTTTATCATACTTATACTGGGTTAGTCAAAAGTATGGAAATCCCCAAAAATCTCAACTGGAAAACATGAAGGTCAAGGTTCAAGGTCATATCAAGATCAAGTCGGTATTTTTAAATGTCGATCTAAATGTGACATTGACCGTGATTTCAAGGTCAAGGTCAGTTCAAGGTCAATGTTGATTTTTACCGTATTTTTTTTATTTTTAACTACGGAGTCAGAGGGAGTGACAGTCTTTGAGTAGATCCCTGATGGTACTTCTTAGTGACTTTGATCATGAAGTCATGGTTGAGAGAACATATCAAGGTCATGTCAGAGTAGCGACTCCTTATTTCGACGCTAGAAATAAGATAGCGTAGAATTCTGCATGTTATTATAATCTTAAACGTGACCTTAAGTTCAATGGTCAAGGTCAGGTAGAGGTCAAGTGATTATTCTGGCTGTCATTTTTTATTTTCCACGATGGAATAGAAGGAACTCAATTTTTAGTCACTATGGAGTACCATCAGGTATCCGTAGGCGGAATTTCGCCCAAATCATTGAAGGGGTAAACATCTCAAAAAATTTTACCCCCCACCCCCTAAAAGCAAGCAATTTTTTAGCTCAATTTCAATAATATTGGGTGGGCCAATTGCCCCCCCTTGCCCCCTCTCAATCCCGCCTATGTAGGTATCTACACAATGGCTGTCACTCCCTCTAATTCTGTAGTTAAAAATAAAAAATTACAGTAAAAATCAACATTTGACCTTGATGTCACGATCAATGTCATATTCGGATGCAGATTTTTCTGTTCCTTCCATTTCCGGGGTTGAAAAGGAGTCACCATTTAAAAAAAGACTTGATCTTGATATGACTTTGAACCTTGACATCAAGGTCAAGGTTAGGCTGTGAAAAATGCTGAGACTTTTGTCCTCACCATTTATCACAAAAATGCTTTAAAATGCTTTCCCGCTGAAATTTTTGTGGGTTTCCATACTTTTGACGAACCCTGTATATCTGACATTTAAAAAACAAATTTAACAATGAACAAATAAATTACACATTGGGTAGTATTTAATAAATCATGCAAAACATATTACTTTTTTTTATTAATGTTTTTTTTAATGTAAAGTAACAGGTCACAGTCATACAAAAGTGATCTCTTTTTAAATCTTACCTTTAATCTCGTGATCCAGGCATTTAAATTATCGATAAACCAAGGCCTCTTCTGAATCGTACCCATAGCCTCTCTCAAACCGAAATTCTGAGACTGCTCTAAAATATCAGACACTGCCTTTGCTCCCCAATCGAAAACGTTTCCTGCCAAAACGCCCTTTGTCAATTCCAACCATTTCTCTTCCTTGTCGGCTATCGAATCTATGTATCGAATTCTCTCTTCGAATTCATTCAGAGCTTGATCGCTCTCTCTTTCTTTTTGCAGTAACCACGGATCCTTGAAATTGTTGGCACGTAGGTTGTCCTCGTTAAATTCTAATAACGTACGCACACTTAATGGCTTTAAAATACTGAAAAGCAAACAGCGTTAAGCACTTTGTTAATTCGCTGCTAAAATAATTTGTTTACCTTGGATCGACACTGAGCTCCTCCACTAGCCTGTGGAATTTCTGAAAACACATTTCAGCTTTTTCTGTGGCACATGGATCGTCTGGATTCAAATATCCGGCTTTATTCACAAATTTTTTAACCATTTGCTCCAAACACGGCAGCCAGTAATTCCGCTCTTTCGCATTGTTAAACAGGTCGATTGTGTCTGGATTGTACAGTTCCGGATTTTTTAATAGTGGGCATATATTCTTTTTCTCGTTCCCAGTCATTTTATTCCAATGGAATTATTTATGACTGAAGTGTAAAATTAGCCGTACTCAGACGATGTAGACACAATTATCAGGACGATTTTGTCTAATAACGATAGGTATCATATGCTTTATCTTGTTTATTTTAATTTTATTTGATAATTGCTTAAATTTATATCAGCTGTCACCAAACATTTTAAGTATCTTTATATCCCACTGTTTCTATTGTTTTTATTCACCATTCTTCTTGCAACATATAATGTTATCTTTGTATTCAACGCAAGCAGTTATTTTAAAAACATGATTTTAAAATATTTGTAGTCGTAATACCTAACCTTAAACATCAATTTCACTACTTTCGCTTTTTTTTTAAGGTACGTTCCGCAATAACTGTGAGAGTATGGTACGTTCCTTAATTTCAACCTTCACCGTCGAGGTATACCTACACTCAAAGGAATTTAAGTTAGTTGAACGCACGCTGACCTTTATTGTTGCTGAACGATTCGAGAAATATCGTGACTGCGCAGACTGCGGGATATTTCTGTCAAAGCACTCAAAAAAGAGGAATAATTTTCACTTACTACCAATAATGCTTTCAATTATTTTAAAAAAAATATTGGTTTGCTGGTTACGTATTATGGGACGATCCATGTCAACCGGATTAATGCTACGACCATAATTTGGAGTAACCAAAAAAATCTACCAAGGGCTCATTTTAAAGCTTAGGCCGTTTACTTTCAAATGCTGAGCGCGCCTTTGCAAAATCCAATATGGCGGCTCCAAAATGGCGCCTGAGGGCTCTAAATTATTGTGAAAAAAAAAATTAAAAACGCATATGAAAATATTTGTTGTCCATATTTGAAGTGTTATATACGCTTTCTAATGTATTTTGACCTCCTAAAAACGAATCCGGTATTAGAATCACATCACATTTTTTTCTAACCTCAAAAAAAAAACGGTAACTAGTGAAAATGTGCGAAAATGAATGAAAAAAAAACTGTATGTATCATATTTTTCACTTCTTCCATGAGGAAATGGAACCGCTGAATCCAAATCCACCTCAAGAATTAGGCTGGCCCGTCTCAGCTGTTTCTAACCTCAAAAATATCGATCACAAATCAATATATTTGAATTCTAACCCCAGATTCGTGATCAGCGATTCCGAAAACCCAAGTACACCAAATTTGACGTAGATCGGTTGATTTTCGAAAATAGCGTCCGCTATCTAGAATTTTGCAGATCTGACTTCAAAATCGTAATCAGCGACCTGAAACACCTCCATGCGCTAAATTTGGCGTAAATCAGTTGAATAAAAAAAAGATCTATTTTTAATATTGATTTGTGATTAGGGATGCCAGATCTCCGGATTTGACCCGAAGTTTTCGGGTTTTGATACTATATCTTCGGGATCCAGGTTAACATGTCATTTCTCCGGGAGAAAAAACGTAAATGTGTCGATTTCGAAAATCGTCTGTTACTTTTTTATTTACACGAATTTTTAAAATTTGAAAACACTTGTAAAAAGTTATCATTAATGCCATGGCGTTAAATGAAAAAATGATAGTAAATAATTTATTATTTGATTGCCCCGGTTATTATCATCATTATTCTATAATAGTTTCAAAAAGTTATACGGTGTTGCCAGATTTATAAAAAATTTGAAAATGTTGATTCTTATATTACATCATTTAAAAGCCAAAAAAAAATGTTCTATTTACTCGGCTTAAAATTTAATATCGCGCCCATAAGAAAAAAGAAAGTTGATGATGGTTTCTCACAATCGAAACGTCGCAATAAAAGTCTAAATGTACAGTGAAATTCCTCGAAAAAACTTGCGAAAACCTGTTTTCAGATTTTTAAAATTGCTCTAAATAAAAAAGTTACAGACGATTTTAGAAAACGCCACATTTACTTTTTTGAAGAATTGTCTAAAACTCCGGGTCTGTCGTGAAATAGATCCCCTATTATATCCCTATTTGTGATTGTTATTTTTGAGGTTAGATTTGGATTCAGCCTTAGATTATAATTCCCAATCTAAGGATTCAGCGGATCCATTTCCTCATGGAAGAAGAGAATATGACAAATGCAGGTATCTTTTTTCTCGTACATTTTTAAGTTTTTACGTTTTTTTGAGGTTAGAAAAAAAAATGTGATGTGATTCGCGTTTAGGAGATCAAAATATATTGGAAAGCGTAGATAGCACTTCCAATACGGACAAAAAAATTTTGTGCGTTTTTAACTGTTTTTCGCAAAAATTGAGAGCTTTCAGGCGCCATATTGAATTTTGCAGCATTTGAAAGTAGGCGCCCTAGGCTTTAAAATGAGCCCTTGGTCGTTTTTTGTTTGGTTACTCCAAATTGTTTACATGGATCGTTCCATATATTCCCGTTTCAGTGTTCGTAATCAGCGTTCGGAAAGAAAAAAAGGACGAATATAAGTTCAAAACGCAATGTATGGTAAAATTAAGTACTCCTTGTAGATATATGTATTTTCAGAAAAATAACGACTATTTGTACATATCAGTCAATTATTATTTGTTGAATCTTGTCTCGACTTATTTAGCATTTCTATGTAGTTTTCAGTACAGCACCACCAACGTAACATATTAAACACAATGGAATAAAGAACAGTGTAACGGAACGTACCTTTCAAATAAACGAACAAACCTACTCACCATCCTGCCCTCTCTTGCACTTTTATGGAACCAATTCAAAATAGTATGCAACACACCTTACACTAACGTTACTGTCATTAGACATTTACGAAATCCAGGGCTACCATGATTCTTAGAATTTAAATCACTTTAATACTGAAATTTTTAAATCTCCCCGTGATTCCTCAAACTTTCCTAGAAATAATCTCATTTCCTGTGACTGGAAATAGGAAAATTAAAAATATTTCTGCAAAAATTTATAAACAAAAAAAAAATAAAAGACGTATCTAGTTTCATCATTTATTAGACAGTCTGACTCAACAAAACAACAGACATATCAGTCACACAAATCCAAAGCCTAGTCGAAGAGACCGAGACCCATATCGTCATCGCTCTCAGACTCCTCCTTCTCTTCTTTCTTAGCCGGCTCGGGAGCGGCGGCCACTGCGGGGGCAGCGGCAGCGACTGGAGCAGCTGCGGCGGTGAATTTGGAGGGATCCTGGAATGACGACGAAATATAGACATTGCTTTAGCAGAGGTAAAAGTTAAAAGGATCGTAATGGGTTTTGTATCAGTTAGAAAAAAAAAAAATTGTGCAGATGACGTTTCACTTACCTTGATTCAAAAATGACACTTATAATTAAAAAAAAATCTAAATTGAATTATTAAATAAAACCTATACAATTTTTAGGCATAAATGCCAATCTATATCTACAGGGTGATCTAGAATTGACGGTTAGTCACTATTCCATGAAAATGGAAAGAGCAAATAGGAAATTGCAAGTGCAAGCCTCTCGTAAGCCTCATTTCAGAATAAATAAAAAATTACCCTAAACATCCCAAACCTACCTTGATAAACTCCTTGATGGTGGCGGCTTCCTTGAAATCGACGTCGGTGACTGCGGCGATGGCCAACAAATTCTTGAACCCATTAGCGATGCTGTGTGGCGCCGAGGCGATGGTCGGGTACCCGATACCCAAACAAACGGAGGCCAAATTGGCGACTCCGGCCAAGAATTTCTCCCTTAGGTCCTCGGGTTTGATGTCGAGAATGGCGGGGGCGAAGATGGTGCCGGAATCGTACACCTGTTCCACCTGTAAGCCGTACGAGAAGGGAGAGATGTTCAACATGTTCAGAAGGGTGGCTTCTGAGGCTCCCACTTTGTCTCCCGGCTTCAGGATGTGGACGTCGTTGATGATTTCAATGGTACCTTGGGAATTACGAATACGAAATGAGAATACTTACGGAGCGTTTAGAAACGGTGAACAAAATGTGGTAGATTTTATTTGTAAGAATAATGGTACGAGATTCTATGACATTTTTTCAAGAAACTCTAGTTAGACAACTTCAAAGTCATTTTTCCAGGCATATTGGAAATATTTTGCACATTGAAAAAATGTAAGTTCTATATCGAGTTTCTACTTTTTTCAATAACTACTAACTCGAATAATTATTTTTTTTTTTCAGTATACTCTCCATAAATATTTAACAAAACATCACTATTTTAAAAATTATACACTGCCCGTCATAAAGTTTGCATCAATGTTTGGAAACATTTTTACCTGATTTTAGAAAATCTAAAAAAAAACTGCTAATTTTGGCTTATTTCAATTTTAAAGAGCAACATTGGGAGATTTTTGGTGCAAAAGAAAGTGGCATGATGTACAGCCAAAGCTCCTTATTCGCAGTTGACATATTTACGGACCAAAAAATTGTGACCACTTCTCGTATTTACGAGTGAAAAATTCTGTATTCGCGAATTCAAAACTAGCGATCATATTGTATTTTTTACAGTAATGCATATTTATTTGTCAAAACAATAGTACGAGATTCCAGACCCTTTTTCGAAAAACTCTCAAGTCATTTTTTCATGGTGTATACCAGATTTTGGCCAAAAAGTTTTAATACTCCAGGTTTTCCAGGCAGATTCGAAACATTTTTCACATTGAAAAAATGTAAGTTCTATATCCAGTTTCCACTTTTTTCAATAACTGCCAATTCTAATTATTATTTTTTTTTAACAAAAATGACAAAAATTATACACTGCTTGTCACAAAGTTTGTATGAAAATGTTTGGAAACATTTTTACCTGATTTTAGAAAAACGAAAAAAAAAACTACTAATTTTGGCTTGCGTCAATTTTAAAGAGGAGATTGGGAGATTTTTGGTGCAAAAGAAAGTGGAATGATGTACAGTCAAAGCTCCTTATTCGCAGTTGACATATTCTGTATTCACGGATTCAAAACTAGCGACACATATTGTATTTTTTAGAATAATGCGTATTTGTCAAAATAGACAAGTAGGTATCAAAATATTTATAAACAAACAAATCTTAGTGTCGTGAAACCAAAAGTCCTTTGACAAATGCAACATTAAATTTAAAAAACCTGAGTAAAGGTTTACGGATGACAAATGAGCTTTGTGATTTCTTCATAAAAATTGATCCGTCGATGGAAAGAAGTCCAGTTTTTAAGAAGCAAATTGATAACACCACAGCTGAATATTGATACAAAATAAAAGGTTTATTAATAGCTACAAAACAAGAAAAAATCGAAAGTCTTTAAACCATTGCCTAAACTTAATAATATTGTTAAAATTTATCTCAATAAATTATTTTTATTATGATTAAAATTATTTTGCAACACTGGAACAGTACATTTTCGGAATATAGGTATCCCTTGCGGATAAGGAGCTTTGAGTGTACTTCAATACAATCAAAAATTTAAAATATACATGTACATTTTTCAAAAATTGAGCATTTTTTGGCTGAAAAATAAGAATAACTCAACTTATAACACCTGTAAATGTGCCTAAATTTAAAATAAATATACCGCAATTTAAAAGAATTAAAAACTATATTTTATAAATTTTTTTAATATCAACTATATTTCAAAAGGGAAGTTTAAATTCTATCAAAATAAAGATAATATTAAAAATTGGAATAATTTCTATTTTTTAACAAATCTAAGAATTATTTTTCATTTTTGTGATTAAAATAACTCCATTTTCTAAATTGAAATCAACCAGTACATCTAGGTTAGGGTGGCCAAAAAAAAAAAAAACGATTTTTTTTCATGTCTTATGAGAATATGTTATTTTATCATGTTTCAGGAACCCCCCTCAAAAAATCAGCTCAAAACATTTTTTTTTGAGGTCACTAAAGATTTTTAAAAATTTCCAAAATCATCAAAAATTAAATTTTTTAAAAAATTTATTTCTCGTTATTTTATCATTTTCTTGGTTGAAAAAAATCTCGATTCTGAAAATTTCAAATTAATTATTTTTACTTTAAAAGCAGTGCACCTAAAATGTTTTCGAGCAACCTCTAAAAATAAATATGAACGAACTAATAATTTTTTGTATTGAATTTCATGAACAAAAGAATAGACAAATCACGAGACTTAAAAAGTTTCTCGAGGCAAATTTTACTACCGCGCTGTGAGTATTAAATATTTATAATTTTTCTATTTTTTAAAATATAAGTGTCTCGTGATTTATTTCTATTCTTTTGTTCATCAAATTCAATAAAAAATAATTATTAGTTTGTTGATATTTATTATTAGAGGTCACTCAAAAACATTTTAGGTACACTACTTTTAAAGTTTTTAAAAAAATCCATGAAAAATGAAGAAATTCTGATATTTCCAGACCTGTGAAATTGTGTGAAAGCCCCAGGTTGTAACTGTTTTCAAGGTTGTGGATGTGTTTTTATTAATTAAGATTTTGCCATAAATTTTTAACATTTTTAGATTGTTTTTACCAGAAATTAAGTATATTTTACTTGTTTTAAGGGTACTAAAAAATATTAGATGCATTTATTTCTCGGAAACAGTTAATGTTACTCGCAACAAGAGAACGTTTTGTCTTTTTAATAATTTGTCACATAATTTTTTTAAAAAACGGAAAACAAAAAAGTTACAACCAGTTTTCTAGTTAAAGATCCTAAAGGGTTTCAGAATTTTGATTTTGATTGAAAAAGTGAATTATGTATGAAAAAAATAACACAATTAGGTAACTGAAAAGAAAAAAATTATAAAATTAATATCGATTTAAAATATGTACAAAGTTTCCTAAAAAATGTCATAACAACCTTCTACCATTATTTTTACCTTTTAATTACCTTAAAAAAATTTATTTGTGAGTCCTGAATATCCTGTACAATAAAAAAATATATAAAAAATTATTTTCTGATGCAAACATGAAATACGCAAGGATTCAATTCGAAATTTTTTAACCCAATATCAGATAAAATTTTCAACAAACGTCTCCCACGTGCTAGTGGGTTCTGCTATTTCTAGCTCTAGCACGAGACGGAAGCCATTAAGAGACGAAAAATAATCATCACGCATCAGGTAACGCATACAATTAAAATCAAATGAACCGTTACAAAAAAAATAAATTTTTTACTTACCCTTTGAAATCTTGGTTGGAATACTCAAAGCCTGGAAAAAAGATGTCTTCTCGGGACCCAGACCAGTGTTTTGCGCGGGAATGACAACAGGCAACGGAGCGATGGCTCCGGCACGAGCAGGGGCCCGTACTTTGTTCTCGAGGAGCTTGTCACGGATCTCTACGAGGTCCCCACGGGTGAACACGAAACCGACATTGCCCTTGATGTGGGGCAGAATTTTCTCGAGGGATGGGTTACGTTCTACGTGACCCTTGATGGCCTTCCTCATCATGGTGTTCTTACCCATGAGCACCACGGCGTTACCGCGGAGTGAGATACGGATCTGTTGCATTTGCTTCGAGCCGACATTGTCAGCGCCAACAATGAAACACTTTGGGAAATCTTCCAACAATTGCTGCGAAGGAATTTGATTCGTTACTTTCAATACGAAACATATGTACGGTTATTTTTGTGTAAATACAGTATCAGTTAATATTTTCCACAAACGTCTACCACATGCCAGTGGGTTCTGCTATTTCTAGCTCTAGCATGAGACGGAAGCCATTAAGAGACGAAAAATAAATCATCATTAAATATAGGGGCGACATAAGTATGAAAATTACATGCAAAACCATGTACTTACGATAAGTTTGGTGAAGTAGTTTGACTTCCAAGACGCCTTGTCCTCCCTACCCATCTTTGCTGTGGCTAGGGACTCGTGTTTTCGAATTTAAGAACTGAAATTGAAAAATGCACTTTAGGTAACACATCATAACCTACAAATTGTGTATGATAAAAACAAAATATAAGGAAAAAATATGTCAATGTACAGCAAAACGGAGGCAATGTTTTTACGAAACTAGTTTTGTATATCTTAAAATTATATGGATTACAGAGATATTTGAAAGTTAAAAAAATTTTGTACACAACACACCTCGGCAAACAAAATCGGCGCAATGAGAAAGAGAAAGAGACAGATAAATTTAGTTTCCGCTTGTCGCTTGTCTTTATTTTCGAGTTTTTAGTAATAACCGTTTGATGGCGATAGTGGTCAAGAGCGGGGAATTTTAAATTGAAAATCGTTGATTAAGGAAATATTATAAGGCTGTAAACATTGTTTTTAACTTTACTTATTGAACAGTTCATCTTTAAATATTATTTACTGACTTTAATATATAAAATCGATTCTGTTTACATATTTTACACCTTTTAAACTAGTTCAAAATAATGTTTACGTCCTATTTTTATATGAATAGTGAATTTAAAATACATTTGAAAAAAATGAAGCATGATGTTTTACTCCAATTACTTGTTATCAAATTTTATTTGTAATAGGAGTACACAACTTAAAAGAAAATTTCTTTTTCTACAAATAAATGTATATCCAACTTTCCTCCTCAAAAACAGACGATGTGTACTTAGATAAAATTATGGAATTAATTAAAACTGCTTTCTTTAGCTTTGATGCGGCGTTTCCTTTGTTTGTCGAAAAAATAAAACAAAGCACTCGTCTTGGGATATTTAATTTCGAAATATCGCCAAAGCACTCTGATTAATTAAATACGCAGATATTCGGAGATGTGTTGTAGCGATATAATTTTCATTTCCGAAATCTGTTGTAAAACAGGTGTTTTAATTAAGTCACATTTTTAATAACTGAAAAACATTCTAATTTATCACGTATCTACACACCAATTGAACCAAAGAATTATCTGGTGTTGTCATTTGACATATTTTTTTATTATAAATAGGAATTTTCACAACCTTCTTTTCAACTGAATTCTATCTATAAAACTTCATAAAAAGCACTCAATTCCTATTTTCGATTGGTTAAACATTGGGTGGAAGCTACAACTCAAATCTAATTATTTGGCAAATTACATGTCAACATTACGTTCCCATCAGTTGGAAGCGCTGGTCAATTTGATCATGCAAATCGTACGCGAATAGTTAATAGTCTCCTAAATCGTATACAAAAGTGGAAACATAAAAGGTGATATTAAAACTATACGAAACTGAAGTAAAGTAGTAGTAAAATTTAAATTCTACAGTTTTGTTAACAATTTATAAAAAGTGTTCTTCGAGGTGTTCTTGTAATGGTACAAAAATGTCGCAATCGCACTTTGAAGGGAAATAATAGAATTTCCTTGCCTGAATTGATAGAATAACAAATACCTACTTACTGTAAGGTTTTTTATTTTGGACGTCAATAAAATGGCATCATGTTTAATATAGGTACCTAGGTATTTTTCTTTTTGAACGATTTCTAATCGGGTCCAAACTGTGTTGAGGCGTGGCTATTCTAATTCGAGGAGGAATTGCGACGCGACAAGGAAAACCCCGTGCTCGCAAACTTGGAACTTTTGATCCACTTAATGAAGTTTACTGTGATTATTAAATGTTTCGGCGAGATAGACGAAACTGCACATTTTAGGAAGATTAGCGGTGTGTTTTCCGTGGCACTTAGGTGCGACCCTCTGTGCAATCAACAGGGGTTTGAACTGTCTGCGAGGACCGAGGGCGAATCAAGTTTTTGCTTGGGTAAGATCCCTGTGGCTCTTACAAAGACGTACCTCCCTTGGTTTCATATATGCAAGTAAACGTTAAGTATACGGGATGTGATTGTGACATTGCGACAAGCTTCCAAAGTTACTTATTCCTGGCAAAATAAACAAAAAGAAAGGCCTGCCAAGATCCGACGTCCCGGCAAGGTCTGGCAAAATGAAATTGAAAAGTGTTTACGTTTTTAAAGCTTATATCGAGAAGCCGCTTTTTTTAGAATCAAACGAAGTGTTTAGGTTATAAAATTGTATCTTTATATATCGGTAAGTGCGTGACCTTTTTTTAATCAAACCAAAAAGTGTTTAGGTTTTGAAATTTTATATCAGTAAGTCGCTAATTTGCGTGACCTTTTTTTTTAATCAGACGAAAAAGTGTTAAGGTTTTAAATATATCTTTAAGTAAGAAGGTATGTGGCTGTTTGTGAGCTGCTTTTTTTATAGAATAGCTTGCAGCCCCACTATAGTCCATCTCATTATGCAGAGGTGTGAGTGTGGTTTTTTGGCAAAGACGAAATAATCATCATATGGTAAATTTTTATATGGATAAAGACCATTTTCTAGAAATCTACTATCAGTTTATTAACCATCTTTCCATAGCTGTTTGTCGTGCATTTTTCACGATTTTATCTTACCATACTGTATTCAATGTAACCATGTTTAATTTTTACTTCAAACGATCTAAAATTTTTCTCAATCTATGCTTGCCCGTTTCAGATAATTGGATTATCACCAGTAGCTTGAATTGAAGTTTATTTTTTATTTTCAAAGGAAAATCTGCGATCTACACTATTATTTTTATTTAACTAGGTATTGTTTGTTTTTGACTTTTGATGTACTTCTCTATATACTTCTCTTGTCAAAATTTGATAATTTCGTCATTTTAGAACACCGTTTTTTAAACACTAAATTTTCGGTGAAAAATAACAAGTTTATAAGATTGCTCTAACAAAAAAAAAATAAACAATATCTATTTATAAAAAATGAGTGTCTTTACTAATTTCTATTAAACTGAGCTAGTGACTGTGGAATAAAAAATCATAAAAGGTTATAATTGAAGATGGCAACTGGGAATACATTCACTAAAAATGTTTTTTACGCAATAAAAACAAGAATTTTTTAAAATTTATTTGAAAAATATACTTGTAGTCATTTTCCAAACAGTTGCTCTCAAATATAAGATCAAAAAAATTAGAGGTTTTACATTTACATCCATATGGCGAGAGAAAAAGACTATTGACGGTATAGTTCAGTCGGTATCTGTTTCGGGTTGGGTAAAACGCATATCATCGGAGATTTTTTATTTAACGGCTTCTAAATAACATCAGAAATAATAATTTCTCTATACAAATAAAAAAAAACGTGGGCTTAATTGTTATTGCAAAAAAGTATAAAAAAATACCAAAAAAATTCATTTTTTTCTTGGATTTCTCGTCGACAACTTATCAACAACTATTCATTTTAGACAAAAATGGAAGAGGAAAAAAGTTTTGTAATTAAATTTTGATCAAGATAGAGTTAGTTGCAATTCGAAAAAATAATTATTGTTTTTGCAAAAATCGGAAAAATCATTTAAAAAACTGAAAAAAATTTTAATTTATTTGTCAATTTTTTTCAGACACTTGAATAATACCTAGGATCTTCATACTTTTCACAATTAAACTTCTTAGTGCATAGAATCATTACACCAAATTTCATCCAATTCGGTTCAATAGTTTTTACATAATAATTGTTTAAATTTTCTTTTTTTTTTAAATAAAAAAAATTTCGTAATCAAATTTCTAAAAATTTAAAGCCTTTGAATACTTGAAAATTTCACCACAAAATTAAGAGATCTCAAGCTTTAAAATGGTTTTTGAAAAATTCAAATCGGACGATTAGGTGAGCCGTGGTGATTGTTTAAACATTTTCGCAATTTTTACGCTTATTGCTTAATTGCAATAATTTAATGTTTTTTTTCAATTTTTTTTTTATTTGAAAATATGGTTTAAAAGTACTCGGAAAGATGAGTATTTAAAAAAAAAACTGATGATCGATCCGTTATTTTCGGAGTTATAGCCCGTTAAAGTTAACTCTTATTTACAGCAAAACTATAAGGGTATAAGGGCTGTTTTTTGAACTAATAGGTTTGTCATTCCGAGTACTTTTCAGATATAATTTCAAAATTTGCAATCACGGGCGTCCTATTTAAAATGTCACTCAAAGATATTCAAGACCGCGTGAAATCAATGAGGTATCAGTGGTGGGGTAAGCAAACACACAGCTACTCCGATCTGAATTCTCGAGTTCAAAACTGCGACGCTCGGAAAAATTCCACTTATCTCAGTTTCTAATGGACCAATTTCGACGATTTTTTTTTAAATCGATGGTTTTTGCAATAAAAATTAAGCCCACGCTTTTTTTTATTTGCATAGAAAAATTATCAGTTCTGATGTTATTTAGAAGCCGTTAAAGCAAAAATCTCCGATCATATGGGTTTTACCCAAGTAAAAACTTTTAAAACAGATACCGCCTGGACCAATAAAAGGGAAATTGATTTAAACCGCGTTGGTACTCCTGAATCCTGATCTTTGTTGTCAAAAATGTCAAATATTAAAGGTACCTACATACTCATGGAAATGTTAATCTAGTCGACCGACTGCCTTTCATTCAAATAAAAGGGAATTTGTGTAAAATCGTAAATTATTCTGCTACTCCGCAACAAAACCAGAACAAATCAAATTATAGGAAAGAATATTTTTTTCTTCTTGTTTTGAAACAACTGAGGTTATGTCTTGTAGTTGGTACCGATAGAAAAGAAGTTAATTATCTCTTAGAGGAGATAAAAACGTTTTGACGTTTCAAAAATAATCCGTCCGTTTGATCACGATCTGTCAGTAGCAGTTTCGGCGTAGGGCAGTGTAGAGCGCGATTCCTGTTCCCCAGGCAGGCATTCGAGCCCATAGCGGCCCCTAAATAGGGCATCCGCTGAAGGCGACCCACATAAACTCAAATCAACAGCTATCTGTTGCACGAGTTAACGACGCAAAGTGCAAAAGGCCGGACCATTCGTCCAATTTTTCCGCTCTAACGCCGTACAATGCGTTTATGCACGTATTACCCCTAAATTGAGTTGTATACGAAAATTGGTATTGGCTGTTCGGATTTCATTTGCGTCATGCAACGCAAATTGACGCTAAGAGCGTAAATCTGCACCGCGGGTTGAAGGAACGTGTAAATTTCCCATTTGCAGCTTTTTGCACGCTTATGGTGCATGCAAAAACATTACGAATCCTTTATTTAGAATTACTACTTTTTTAACTTGGAATTATTCACAGTTGGACAGACCTTTAGGCATGGGCGTAGCTAGGGGGAAGCAGGGGTGGGCCGTGCCCCTCCCAGAAAAAAGATCTAAGTAATATTATCATATCGGCATATCGATAAGTCGCTAACTGCTTGACCTTTTTTTTTTA